GGGGAACTTGCGAGCGGCACGGCCCACAAAGGACGCCCGCCCTGGCCTCGTCGGCGGACTCGGCCTCGGTCTCCGTGATCCCCGCGACGATGGTGCCCTCTCGGCGGGCTGGCCCCCAGCGTTGAGGCGGCCCGAAGAGGCGGCCCGAAGGCCGCGACCGCGAGGGCGAGGGCTCCCGGCTCGGGCTCGGCGCGTGGACTGAGCCGACGCGCGAGGGGAGGCCGCTGGAGGTCCCTGGCTCCACCTCCTCCTCCTTCTCCTCCTCCTCCTCCCTCCTCCTCCATCCTCCCTCCTCCCTCCTCTTCCTCCTCCTCCTCCCTCTCCCTCCTCCCTCCTCCCCCCTTCCTCCTCCCTGCTCCATGCCCCCTACTCCTTCCCTCTTCTGCCCTCCCTTTCTCCCTTCTCCCTCCTCCCTCCTCCCCCTCATTTACATTCATCCTACCTCCTCCTCTCCTCCTCCTCTTCCTCCTCCCCTCACATCCTCCTCCTCTACTCCTCCTACGCCTTATGCTCCTACCTTTTTTTCCTCCCTGCGTCCTCCTCCTCATTCCTCGCTGCTCCTCCCTCTTCTCCCTCCTCCATCCCCCCTTCCCGGTTGTCCCTCCGCTCGTTCCTCCTATCCTACCTGTTAGTTGACATTCCCCACTTCCTCACCCCCCTGCACCCCTCACATTCAGCCTCCTCGGCCTCCCAACTTTCCTTTCATCCTCCTCCTCCTCCTCATGCCAAACTCCGCCTCCTCCTCTCCTCCTCCCCGCCTCCTCCCTCCTCCCTCCCTCTCCGTTTTCGTGTGTTTCCCTCTTCCGTTTCCTCCTCCCTCGTCGCATCCCTCACTTGTCATCCCTCCTCCTCCTCCTCCTTTACCCTCCCTCCTACCGCCTCCCTCCCCCTCCCTCCGTCCCCCTCCCTCCTTCCTTCCATCCTTTCCTCCTTCCCTCACTTCCTCCTTACCCTCCCCTTCCTCATCCTCATCCCTCCTCCCTCTCCCTCCTCCCTACTCCTTCCTCCCCCCCTCCCACTCTCCCCATCCTCCTCATTTCTCCCTTCCTCCCTCCCCGCGTTTCCTCCTCCCTCCTGCCTTCCCCTCTCCTCCTCCTCCTTTCCCTCCTCCATCTCCACTCTCTGCTCCTCCCTCGTCCCTCGTTTCCCTTCGTCCCTCTCCCCTCCTCCTCCATCCTCGGTCCCCCTCCTCTCTCCTTCCTCCTCCCCCTTCCCTCTCCCCCCTCTCTCCCCCTCTCCCTCCGGCCTCCCCTCCTCCCCCCTCCTCCCCCCCTTCCCCTTTCAGTTGTGCGGCAGTTTTTCAGAGTGTACATTTAAGAGCGATCCATTCTAACTGTTCAGAAGGCGCCTACGCGCGCCTTGCAGAGAGGAGACACCCAAGGGCCTCTAAGACGAGCCCCATTTTCTTCAAGCCTCCGATCCCAATTGACGCGGTTGCCGTCCAGGCAGCCCAGGCGGTCGAGTCGCCCTGAGCGAAGTCGAACCCCTTTCCGAAAAAAGAAAAGCCCGTGCGGATGGTCCCCGTTCCTTTCCTCCCCACTGCTCCCCCCCATCCTTCCCCGTACCCTAACCCTCCCCTGCCCCCAAATTTGATCCTCACCCTCCTCCTTTCTCCCTCCTCCTCCTCCTCCTCCTTCCTCCTTCCTCCTCCATCCTCACTCTCCCTTCTCTCCCTGCTCCCTACTCTTCCTACTACCTTTCCCTCCTCCTCCCTCCCCCCCCACTCCTCCTCACTAGTTCCCTCTCCGACATTGCTCCCCTGCCCCCCCTCCTCCCCCCCCCCTTCCATCCCTCCTCCCTCCTCCCTCCATTTCCTCCTCTCTCCCCCTTCCTCCCTCCTCCCTCCTCCCTCCTCCCTCCTTCCTCCTCTCAGCCTCTTCCTCTCTTTCCCTCCTACTCCTTCCCTCCCGCCCTCCCTCCTCCTCATCCTCCTCCTCCTTCCCTCTCCCTCCTCCTCCTCCTCCTCCCCCTCCTCCTCCTCCTCCTCTCCTCCTCCTCCTCCTCTCCTCCTCCCTCTCCTCCTTCCTGACCCCTCCTCCTCCTCCTCTCCTCCTTCCTCCTCCTTCCTCCTCCTCCTCCCCACCTCCTCCTCCTCCTCCGCCTCCCTCTTCCTATCCTCCACTCCCTCCTCCCTCCTCCCTCCTCCCGGCCCTCCCTCCATCCTCCATCCTTTCCCTCCTCCCTCCTTCCTCCTCCCTCCTCCCTCCTCCCTCCTCATCCTCCTCCTCCTCCTCCCCCCCTCCTCCTCATCCTCCTCCTCTTCCTCCTTCCTCCCTCCTCCCTGCTCCTCCCTGCTCCTCCCTCGTCCCTCGTCCCTCGTCCCTCGTCGTCCTCCTCCTCCTCCTCCTCCGTCTTCCGTCTTCCGTCCTCCGTCCTCCCTCCTCCCTCATTCCTCCTCATTCCCTTCTTTCTTTCCTCCTCCTCCTCCTCCGTCATCCCTTCTTCCTTTCTGCCTTCTCCGCCCTTCTCCTCCCTCCTCCTCGGCCGGAAACAAAGTCAGGAACGCCCTAACATCCCTGCCCCCCCCCCTCCTCCTCCGCACAGACCTGCGCAAGCAGTCGAGCTGCGCGCCACACGCCACTCACGCCAGGGCTGCGGGCGTGGGCAGGGAGGGCGTCGAGCTCCAGCGGGGAGGGGGCGGGGACGGAGGAGGGCGGAAGATGGCGAGGGCTTCCTTTCGGGAGCGTCCAACCCAAACAGCCCGGACAATCAAGAGCGAGTCGGGGCGAAACAGATCGTGGCATCGAAGAGGACGGGGGGGACGTCGGAGCTGGCGTGCCAAACACTCGGAAGATGGCGAGGGCTTCTTTTCGGGAGCGTCCAACCCAGACAGCCTCGAGTCATGAAACACTCACGACGGACAATTTCCAATAGTTTCGCGGTCCCTGGGGGCCCTGACCGGGCCTCGGGACCAGCAAAAAACGACTCGGGAAGAAAACGCTGTCCTGGGAAATGGGTCGAGACCTCTGGGGGTCGACGTTATGGCAAAAACATGGCGTCGGGGGTCTGGGAAGAGGGGGCGTCCAGTAGGGGGTCGCAAATTATGGCCCTAGGCACGTGCGCATCCAAGGGGAGGCCAGTAGAACTACTGAACGAAGGAGAAACAGAAAAATAACAACAAGACAAATACGGCACATAGTAATAAGAAAAGTACTGAGAAGTAGAAGAGGGGGCCGTGGCATCTGGGTATGCACATCTCTGTATGTATATATATATACATATATATATATGTGTGTGTACCTATATATATATATATATATAAGTAAATGTCCCCGGCCATGATGCCCCCCTCAGTCATCACCCCTCTCTTGGCCGCCCCCGAGATGTTTGGAACGCGGTGGGCCTGCGCCCATAGCGTGCCACCTCTTCGAGCCGGAAATGGGGCTCCCAGGGCCTCCGGCTGCCGTCGACCGAGCAGCGCAGGCTGGCCACCGCTCGGACGTCCATTCCCTGTTTTTTGTTCGGGTTCGTGCGTGGCTGTTCCGCCAGGAGGTTCTCGCCGAAGGAAGAAATGCACACGTCCGAGCGATGTCAAGCAGGTGTGCGCAACTCGCTCGCGGGTTTGGACGCCCGAAATGGGCACGGAACCAATGGGCACAATGCGTAACAGCAAATGCTGCCCCGAATCAACAGCGGCCGCTGTTTGGCAGGAGGCCTTCTGTCTCAAATGGACACAGGCCGCGGCAACGCCGACAGCGAATCCTGTTCAAAATGAGCAAGAACTGCTGTCGGTCTTTGTGCCCATTCTTTCCGCACCCATGCCGGTCGTCCCGAACCTCGCTCGCGGGGGACCGCCCAAGACATGACGGGCCGATGTTTCACCACCACTACCACAGATAGGAGAAGGGGGGAGGAGGAGGAGGAGGAGGAGGAGGAAGAGGAGGAGGAGGAGGAGGAGGAGGAGGAGGAGGAGGAGGAGGAGGAGGAGGAGGAGGAGGGCCGCGCGGTGCCAAGCAGGTGTGCGCACCTCGCTCGCGGGGGACCCCGCGGACTCCAAAGCCGGCGGGGGGCACCGGCGGAGGCGCCGGCGGAGGCCGCCTGGGCGCGCCGCGCGGGGGGGGGCCCTCTGGGAAACAAAAGGTGCTCCGCCGCGTGGCCGCCCCGCGGGGGAGCAGTGCCCCTTCTGCGGTGCGTCGGGGGACTGCCCCCCGACGAGGCGGGGGCCCCGGCGGTGTCCCTCTTCACAGGGGCCGCCGAGTCTGGGAGGAGGGCTGCCCCTTTTCAAAAAGGGGGGGCCCCAGAGGCAGCCGCCCAGGCTCCGTGGGGGTGTCCTGGAAGGGGCCCCCCCCGCTGCGGCCCGGCGTCACGGCGCGGGCGCTGCAAGCTGGGACCCCGACCCCGTCGACCTCGCCGTCGTCGTCGTTGACGACGCCGCCGCCGCCGCCGACGTCGCCGCCCCTCGCCGCCACACAACACTCCGGGGCGAGGCAGATCGTGGCCTCCGAAGAGGAGGTCGGAGCTGGCGTGCCAAGCACTCGGAGCAGAGATGTTGGCGGAACGACGTGATCGTGCCAGGGCCGGTCCTTCTCCGGGTCGTCGCGCAGGTCTATGAGCGGCTCGTTGCCGTCCGTCGCCAGCAAGTCGAGGAGGTTCTCGTTGTAGACCTGGATGGGCAGGTCTACAGAAAGGAGGGGGGAGTGAAGATTCGGTGGCAACTCATGGGAGCATCCCATACCATCTTGTCTGCTCTTGCGAATGGACGCTAGTCGACGCTGGATCGACACTATGCGACGCTAAATCAACGCTACTCGACGCCAATCTAACCGACGGACGCTAGATCGGCGCTGTCTCATCGACTCCCAGACGCTAATCGACGCGAGTCGACGCTACAGACGGAATTAAAAGGATATACCAGGCTCCCATGATTTGCCACCGAATGAAGATGAGCACGCCAGGGAGAAGTTCCATGCTAGGGAAGGGTTTCATGTCATGGAGGGGTTCCTCCGTCCTGTTCCCTCTCTTACCCTCCTCCCCCTTCCTTCCTCATCCCCCGCTCCAAACTCCACTTTGTTTCTTCCCCAGTCGGCGCCGCGTGCCAGAGCGAACAACCACATCCTATCGGGAATTATGACCCAACGCGCGCGCAGAGCAGACTAAACCTCTTCGATGACACGAACAACGATGGCAGCACAGGGGAATCGGGGAATCGCGACGGCGTTCACTGTAATGACAAATCGTGGCACCATGCAACAACTCATATGCCTCCTGCTTCCTCCCTGGGTCTCTCTCACGGGAAGCATGCCTCAATGAACGAACATCTGATCGACACCGTCCTGAAGCGGGTATGATTCAGCATCGGACCAAAACAGACCAAGCTGGAGAAATACGACAAAACATACAAGATGGCGATGGCGCGTGAAATTCAGATGCCTTGCGCTTCAATGCGTTCAACTGTGCAGCTGACGGTGTTTGCGACGCTGTCGCACCCTGAACCTACTAACGACTTCGAACACCGTAAATCATAAGTCGTGACCTCCCCAACACTGGCTTGCAACGACCCGTACCGGGCCCCCGCTTAAACCTTCGCACCTCGACGACGCTCTTATGTTGAGCCCCCGCTCCACATCAACCTCATATCCCCCCTCTCGTGTATCTTCCCTCGTGGCGTATCCCTCTTGCCTCGTCATCCCTTAGGCCTGCCAATCGCGCACGTGTCGCCAGCTCCCTGCGTCCAAGGATGACGAACTTCGGCGCAACTCGCTCTTCGGGTAACCCCACCGTCCCGAGGCCGTTCATACTCGGCACCCCTGGTGTCCCAAAGAACACTGCTGGCTCGCGTGGACCCAAACTAAACCCAACCGCGCTCGTCTGCGTACTGCTGAGCGCGCAAACTTTCGCCATTCTGGGTCGCCCGTGTGGGGGGGTCAGCGGTCAGCGCGTTGCGGTCGCCCGTGGGCCCAAACCGGACCTCGCGCCCCTGGGCGCAGGACGGAACCTAAACGGTGTTTCTCGATTTCCGTTTTGTTTTCGTTTTCCCTCACTTTGCCTTCAGTCCGCCTTTATCACGCAAAGCGAAGAATCAGAACAAAAACGGCCCACGAAATCGCCAAAACACCGTTTAGGTCCAGCCCTGGATCAGCGCATTGCGTTCGCCCGTGGGCCCAAATCGACCCTCCCGTCCCCGAGCGCTGTCGGGCCTGCAGCCGTCACCGTTTCCTCGAGCTCCTAGGGGGCTCGCAGCAGGGCTGCCGTTTACAGGAGCCTCGACTGCCTGGATGCGGCCAAGCGTAGACACGTCGTCAATGTCCTCGGGGATCTTCAGACCAATCCAGACCCGGGTCAGCAGGAAACCAAAAACTGCAATGCAGGAAAAAAAAGCTGCAACGCAGATCTTCGCAAACCCAGGTCAGCCAATATGCGCGGCCGCCCCGCGGCCACGAGCGGCTCGCTAACCCGGGTCAGCCAGGGGGGGTCTTCGCAGAATCCTGCAGGATCTGGTGCCCTGGCTGACCCCTGTTTGCATTGACCCCCGTCTCAAGGCTCCCCTGCGCCCCTGGGAGTTCTGGTTGATGTGATCTTCTTCCTGGGACCCAGACCAGATCTGGCATTCGATTTGCTCTTCCATTCCTGTGGGGCTCTCTTGAGCATGTTTCTGGTGCGCCAAGATCGTCAACTGGAGGTGAATCGAACCAGGTCGCAATCGAAAGCAGAATCGAGTCGAAAGGAAGCCATTTTCCGCTGATTCCTTCCCCGCCTGGGGCAGGGGATGTCCCAGGGGGGAGTCCTGGAGTCCCGGGGGGGTCCCAGGTCAGAATACGTTCCCCCCCTTTCCTTTTCGGGCCGCCCTCGCGCAAATTCGGCCCGCCTTCGGCAGATCAGGTCAAGGATGCTCCAAGAGGGGCCCAAGAGGGCCCCGAATCGCCGAAAGATTGCTCCAGGACGCCCAAGATGGTCTCCAGACGGCCCAAGGCGCCTCCAAAACGCCCCAAGAGGCCTCCAAGAGCATTACCAGGGGGGCCTCAAGAGGTAACATGTATTGAATGTGCGTTGGTCTCTGGCAAGTTTTAAAGCTTCCGCCTTTCAGACTTTCCGACGCGCCAAATGGGCCCACGATCCTTGCTCTGCTCAAAAGAACCCTGGGCGTTTTGTAATCACAAACGGAACATTTGTTCTGTCGCTGTGGGGCCCTTGACAAAATGAAAACGCTTTGAACACGCTTTGTGTTACTAGATGTTTTGTTCACTGGATTTGAATAAAAACAATGTCAGGCCCGTCGCTATGGATATGTATGTGAGAGAGCGGTTTTCGCTTTCTTGCCAAAAAGCTGCTCTTTGTCTTCGCTGCCGTCTTCGCTCCCGCTCTCCCGTTCCTGCCACCCTCACTTTCCTGAAGCCCCGCGCGCAGAACGCACAACCAAAAACGCTAAAACAAACGCCACAACACCGCTTGAACACTGATCTAACACCAGCGCGGAATAGGTTCAGAGGCCCCGCGACCAGGCAGCAGCAAAAGCGAACTGACTATAATCAAAAGTAGGGGGGAATGGACGCAAGGAGAGGGAACTAAGGACGTGGCAGACGGCAGCGTGAAACAGCGCAACCATCTGATCTGGACACGCTAAGAAAAGAGTTGAAAACGCACAACATTGCATCGTTTCCTTGGAATTGTTGTTTCTCTTGCGGGGGGCGAAATACGTAAAACATAACGATTTCCAATACGCCGTTGTAAAGCGCAGATAAATGCCCAATGAATTTCTACGAAGAACCAAGCCCAGCACCGAGACGGCCCAGAAGGTCTCGAAGACGGCCCGAGAGGCCCCTGAGACGGCCGCAGGTACGGCCCAAGCGGGGCCCCGAAGGGCGAACACGAACCGAGGCCCCCGAGGAGGCCCCAAGAGGACCCCGAGAGGCCCCACGACGCCCACAACAGCCCCGAAGGAAACCCCAAGGAGGTCCCAAGAGGCTCCCAAGCGGCTTCCAATGGCTGCCGACAGCCCTCCGAAGAGTTCACAAGAAGCATCCATGCTATTCCGACCCACTACCCAGGTACGGTGACGGCATGGACCGCGGGCCACTGAATCTGCCGCCCGCACTGATTTGCCACAGGGGTGTCTGGCGTGCTAGATCCTACGGCTTGGCGTTGGTTCTGTCCCCAAAGAGCTCCCCTGTGGGGCTTCGATCCCTGCAACCGACCACCCGAAGGCCCCGCCTCTGCGCAACCAACGTCTCTAAGACGGCCTCGATGGCCTCCAAGATGGCCAAGATGGCCCACGATGGACCCCGAGATCGCCCAAGATCAAGCTGGTGCAACATGGCCTCCAGGACGGCGCAGAGAGGGTCCCAGACGCCTCCAACTCCACACGGCCCAAGATGGCTCCAAGAGGCCCCAAGAGGCCTCCAAGACGGCCCAAGAGGCCTCCAAGACGGCCCAAGAGGCCTCCAATAGGTCAGCCCCCCATAGGTTTTTGCAAAATGTGGGCATTTGCGTTTTTGCGGCACTCCGACATCCCGAGACGGCCCAGGAGGCCCCCAAGGTCGCTCCAGGATTGCACCACAGGCCTCCAAGATGACCTCACTGCGGCCCAAGGAGCCCCCAAAACGTCACCGAGAAGCCCTCATGTTTCGTCCAAGATGATAAAATATTGCCTCCAAAACGGCCCCAGGGGGTTCAAGATGGTCTCCAAGACGACCCAGAGGGTCTAAGATGCCTCCAAATCCGCCCCAGAAGCCTCCAAGACGGCCCAAGACAGCCGAAGAAGCTCCTCACAAGCCTCCAAGACGGCCCGAGAGGCCCCCAAACGGCCTCCAAGACGGCCGCTCCACCTCGAGCATCCCTCCAACCATGAAAAAATAGCTTCGGGTAACAATTGCCACTGAAATCTTCAACAGGCGAGCAGGCTTTGGCGGAGAACCATTGCGTTCCCCTTGAACGGCCCCACCGTATGTACGACGGACCCAAACGGCCCTCGCATGGCCCAGAACGGCCCAAAACTTACCCAAAACGGCTACGAGGTTCACAGCTCGGAGCTTAAGTGTGTGTGACTGTTCTTCGGAATGTTACGACTGGAAGTACATGTGCTCCTTTTTCTCGCCGAAATTCCCCGACAGACTTCCACAACGACTCGGGGAACAACTGAGAGGGCATGACCACCTTGAAATGGTTTGACAATCAGCCCCAGAGGCCTCCAAGACACCCAACATCGTCTTTAGGACGGCCTTGTTCAAAGAGACACCCTGGACGGCTTCAAACGACGCCAGACGGGCCAGAAACACCCTACGCCGGCCAAGGAGGCCCCCAAGAAACCCCAAAGGAACCCATTACTCATTTTACTAGTACTCCTGCAACGCATGTCCCCGTGTGTGCATGCCAGAACACGTTCCAAACCATGCAAGTGTAGTATCACGTACGTGTCCCAATGGGTGCGTGCGAAGCACGTCCCCGAGAGAGCGCGTACTACACGTGTCCCAGTGGGTGCGTACCATGGCACGTCCCAGAGGGTGCGCGTGTATGACGTGTGATAATGATGCGACTACTAACTAGAGTACGAGGTGGCTCAAGAGGCTCCCAAGAGGCCTCCTTTTCCTGTTCATCCTTCTCCTCTTCCTCATGATCCTCCTCCTCCTCCTCCTCCCCTACGCCTCATGCTCCTCCAAGTGTTTCCCGAAAGGTTTCCACTGCGGCTCGCGGAGCACTTGGTCCGAAAACTTACCCAAGCTCTGGACCCACGCGTTTGGCCGCAGAGGCGCTTTTCAAGAAGGCAGGGGTTTCGGCGTTGATTCGCAGCAGGCGTCCACGATAATCCAAGAGCGGGGCCTGCCACCGCCCAGGCGCCCCAACAGAGCTCCGAGACGGTCCCCCACAGAATTCCATCCTTTCCTCCTCCTCCTCCTCCTCCTCCTCCTCCTCCTCCTCCCCATCCCTCCCTGCCTCCTCCTCAATCAAGCCCTCAACTATATCATACCAAGAACCTTTGGTATGACAATTGTGCGTGCGGGTTGCTTCGGGAGCCCTCGTGGGGCCCTCAAAGCCCTTTCGAGTCTCTTGGTGCCCTTTTGGGGGCCCCTCTTCAAGCCTTTCGGGACTCTCGGAGAGACCGGCGAGAGCTCCAGGAAGCCTCCAAGAGAGCCCAGAGAGAGAGCTCCAAGAGGGCTCCCAGGTCCAGAACCGCATCATACCAGGACACGGTGACGGGATGGGGCGTGGGGAACCTGATCAAAGAGTGGCCTGAAATCGCCCGAATGCCGCAGGAGAGCCCCAAGCGGGCTCCCACTGAAAGCTCCAAGCGACGACCACCCTCGACTCCCAGATACGGTCAGGATGGCGCTGAATCATCACCACGACGATCCAGGACATCGGGAACCGAACATCGGCCAGCGTCTCGCACCGCGGGGGTGCTGCATGGTGGGGCCGAAACGCCCAGGAAGTTGTGCCATGTGAGACGAGGGTTAGGTCGGGCATGACCCCCTCCAGGCGCATTTTGGAGGACAAATAAAACACAGTCCAACAATACTCAAAGATGGTCTAGAAATAATCAAAACATCGCCCCCAGGCAATGTTCGACTGTGTTTGAATATTCCTCCTGCAGAGGGACACGCCCGACTCAAAGGACAAGCGGGGCGTGACGCCTGGAGCGAAGAAGGCGATCAAAGATGCCCTCGATGGACGGCGAAGATGACGACGCCTGACCGAACAGGCTCCCAGGAGACCTCCGAGACAATCACAGACGGCGGCCCGAAGGCCGCAACGACGACCGAGGAGGCCCTCAGAGCCCCGAAAAAGAAGGCTCACAAGAGGTCTCCTTGTCCTCCTGCTCCTCCCACTCCTCCTCTTTATCCTCCTCCTCCTCACTCCTCCTCCTCCTCCTCCTCCTCCGCCTCCTCTTCCTCCCTCTCCTGATTCCCCTCTTCCTCCCCCAGCGGCTGCGAAAGCACGTAGGCAGATAGCTTGGCCAAGCTGTGTTCCTCGTCGTACGCTTTTTGGGAACGTCATGGGGCTTCAGGGAAACTCTTCGGGGCGTCTGATCCCAACATTCCCGAACAACTTTGGCTGTCACCTTCATCATGGGGGTCGTCTTCCAGGGTCGGCGGCACCGGCCGTAAGGCCTTCACAATACCAACACACAAGCTCGCTTCCCTGTGTGTCGTGCCACGTTGCCCGTGCATTTGGACAGTCCAACGTGGTGAAAACGTTAGTTCGGCTGCTGCTAAGAAGCCATAAACAACAAGTGAAATGGCCAGCGGAATCACCGCAAGACTACAATCACGAGATCCAATTCCGTTCGAACGTGTACATCCACAAACTTTCGCGACGATCCCGCTTGTGCTCACACACAGACCGTGGACTGGGAAGATTGGACCACTGCGACTGGGCAGACTGGCAACTGTGACAAATTGTGCCCGCTATTCTCCCTGACAATGCACTCGCACGCCGACCCACCGGATAAGTACGGATCGGTGGCTGAATGCTTACACGAGACGGTGCTGAACCGATTGAACAACGAACGATCATACCGACAATGACTGCAGAACTAACATCCGGATAAGCATCCAACTGCCTCTGGCTCCAGCTGGAACGATGGAACGAACAGTTGCCCTCTTGCTGCGTCTCAGTCCCAACTGTAAACTTTAAATCCTTGGCGGGGCTACTCTCTTCCTTTTGGGGGAACCTGTAAGGCACTGATCCCTCTACTCCCCGGACCCCTCCCTGGGTGCGATCTGACCGGAATTCGAGGCGAATCAAGCAGTGGCGACGAGGGCCTCCCAAGGAAACCCAAAACGGCAAAAACGAGGCAAGGAGTAGCGGTATCGGCACCCTAGATTGGAATGCTCTGATGAGCCCGTTGGTGGGATTACTAGCAGACCAGAACGCCTCGCACCTGCTTGACTGTTTCGCTTGAACGCCCGCAATGGATACGGACAAACTGGGGACGATGCCCAACAGCCAGTGTTGCCCAAGGCTGACAGAGGCCGCTGACCACGCCCGCGACGGCACCGACCACAACAACCCCTGCTCAAAAAGGGCAAGAACTCCTGTCGGTGCTCCTGAACCGGTTCCCGTCACCAGCTCCTCCCTCCTCCCTCCTCCCTCCTCCCTCCTCCATCGCATCGATCCCGTGAACTCAAGACGTGTTCGCCCGGCTCCGTAATCGTCGGGAGCGGCCAAGAGGGGGGTGTCCACGAAGGGGGGGTGCAAATCATGACCGGCGGCATGTGCGCGGCCCAGCGGGGGGGCCAGGGACGTAATGAAATCAGAAGAGGTGCCATGAAATCAGGGGAAATATCATGGCCCACGCCATGATATCCACCCCCCCCTAGTCATCACCCCCCTCTTTGCCGCCCCCGATAATCGCACACTCCCCGTGCTTCACCCGTCGCAGCCGGGGAGCGGCGGTGCTCCCAGGGTGCGCGCGCGTGTGCTGGCCGAGCTCGCTTGCTCCGTGGAGGGCTCACACCTTGCTGCCGCAAACCAGTCTATGTTTGGCGACGGCGCCGCCCCGCAAGGGCCTGGACGCGAAATGCCCTGAAGTCCCACCGGCCCTCTGGGCGTAGGTGGTCTAGAGCGGTTTCTCTTCCAACCCCTCCCTCTTCCCCTTCGGAGAAGGGTTCACCCCTCCCCCTCCGCCCCTACCCTGGACCTGGCATGGGCGTCCCGCGAGCGGTTAGAGCATCCAAAATGGCCCGAGATGGCTCCAAGAGGGCCTCAGAGAGCCCAAGATGCCTTCCAAGATGGCCCAGGACAGGCCAAGATACACGGCTCCCAACATGCCCCAAGACGCGTCGACAATTGGTGATGATTAGTTTGACGACGGCGCCTTTGGCGAACCACCTAATGCCCTCGGTGCGCTGTCGAGAGTTGGCAAGGGGCTGGCAAAAGAGCCAACGTATCGCGTTGACTCACATAGCGGTGGCGTCGTCAACGACTGCCACACGGAACAGACTAAACGAAATATCAGAAATCACGAATACAGTTGGTCAGAGGCCAGAATAACATCCTTCAAGACCATGAGACCTTCCACTGGCCAAGACAAACAACACATCCAAGCGTGCCCCTACCCGAAGTGCACAAGAACACCCAACAACACACGAAGAACATCGGGGTACCCTCCCCGCACCGACCTCGATCTTATTATACCTCGGTCCGGATGCAAACGAAATATCAGGCATCGCAACTATCTGCGAGCCTGGAGCAGCTCATACCTCGGGGTCCCAAAGCCGTGCACACCGCGTGGAGACCTCGATCTCCCGAAGGACCTCACCACACTGCCTGTCACCGCACGGCCTTGGGACTCTGGAGGCGCCTGACGCCCAAAACTACGACGAAACAAGGACGAGGATAAAATTGGGTACGGATAAATCGAGAATAGCTAAGGTCCGGCGGCTCTGGAGGATGTCTCCGGCGCCGCGGCCTTCTCAGAGCGTTCTGGAACGCCCTGGAACGGATTTATCCTCGTCCCAGCCCGTTCGACAAGACGTCCTCGGAGAACGACCCGAGTCCCAAACACGTTTGGTGATCCCAAATTATCACTGACTCACCAAACGGTATGGTCACGACCCCGTCTGGTCACGACCCAGTCTGGGAGCACTCACCACAACGGTATCCAACTCTTCCCAGACTGCGTGAAACTTGCCGAATGAGTGGCGATCCTCCTCCGCCTTCGCACTTTTCAAATCTCCAGCCTGGAACTTGAAAGAAGGTCGAACGTTCCCGGTACGTACTAAAAACATTGACCCGAACATCTGAAACCGAGGGCGAACTTACATTTTAACAGACATGGGTCGCAACCAAAAGAACCGCTGTTTCTGTTCCACAGGGGGCGATCAACGATTCTCAAATCACCTGCACCCCCCTCTCACAAATATTTCCTTGGAGGTCCTGCCGGAATCGCCAGAGTGGACCTCTGAGGCCTCGTCGAACAGCTCCTTGACCGTTCTCAACATCACCCCGGGATCCTGAGGAACTGCGAATGCCGTATTACATCGCGCAGTTCTGTCAATTGCTCTGCACATTGTCAAGCATTTGGTTATGAGATATGGATACATGTGTGCTCGCCAGCGTAGACCAAAAACAATGTGATACTAGCAATGCAATGTTGAGCAACATGTTGTGCAATATGAATTGTCCAATCGATGTTATGCAATGTACGTTGTGCAATAATTGTGAAGCAATATATGTGGTGCATGTTCCGGGGTTATATATCTATGTGTCTATGTGTGGAAGAAACTATGGTGTGCAACATATGCGGCACATTACGCGTACATACGTGCATACGTGCATACATGCATACATACATCAATCCATACATCCATGCATCCATCCATGCTTGCATGCATCCGTCCATCAATACATACAGACACACGTACATACATACAAACATGCATACGCACTGACATACATACACACATACATTCATACATACATCCATACCTCCATAAATGCATATTTTCCGATCCATAGATGTGTAGATGTGTTTGTATACATTTTCGTATACATGAAAGTACGTGGTGCAAGCTATGTGACGCACAATCTATGTTGTGCAATCAATCACTTGCTCAACTTGAAGCTGTCCTCTCCACTGCTCGCGCAAACATCCCACCCTCCCACCCGCAACTTGGTTTGCAAAACCTCTTAAGACCGACTACGACGACACCGACGACAACGACGACGACGACGACACCGACGACGTCTCCGACGACTTCGACGACGACAACGACGCCGACGCCGACGACGACGAAGACGACGACGACGCCAACGAAGGCGACGACGAGGGAGGAGGAAGGACGACGACGGCGACAACGACGACAACGACGACAACGACGAGGGAGGAGGGAGGACGGCGACGACGCGAACGACGACGAAGGAGGAAGGACGGCGACGCCGACGACGACAACGACGAGGGAGGAGGGAAGACGACGACGACACGACGACGACGACGACGGTGACGAAATAGAACCGACGACGAGACGCCGACGACGGACGACGACGACGACGTGGGAGGAGGAGGACGGACGACCACGGCGACAACGACGACGGAAACGACCACAACGCCAAAGAGGACGACGACGACGAACACGAGAAAAGACAGAAGACGACGTAGGCGACGACGACGACGCGGGAGGAGGGAGGACGGCGACGAGGACGACGACGACGACGCAAGAGCGCGCGCGCACGCTTTTGTTGAAAATCCGTGTTGCGAAACCTTAGGTTTTTGTATGTTTTTTGGGCGCACGATTTTGAAATCCTTCCGAAACCGATGGGTTTTGAAGGTTTTCGGCATACGCCCGCGACGACGCACGCGTCTGCACTTCGCCCCATTTTTTGCAGAGGATTCTCGCGACGACACACGCGCAAGGGCGTTCAACAGATTTCGACATGCGCGCGCGCGAAGCCCGTTTGGCAGCATTTTGTGAAAATCTTGAAAAACCTATGGTTTTCTTAAGATTTCGCAAGAGCTCGCGCGGAAGCTTGTTTAGCAAATCAGTGTTGCGAAGCCATGTGTTTTTGTTTCGGAAACTTGATTGCGAAATCCTTCCGGCACCACAGGTTTTTGAAGGATTTCGGCATGCGCGCGCGACGACGCGCGCGTGCGCACTTCGTCCCATTTTTTGCAAGGGAGTCGTGAAAAAACGTTATGCTAGAGCAAAAAATGTCACCGCATAGTGTTTTTTACAAGGGAACCTCAGGGAGGGGAACCCGGCCTGGCTGGGATGGTATGATTTCATATGTAGGATGGACGAATGGTCAGAATCATATATGATTTACATACCCGAAAGGGGAACGGATAAGTCCGGGGGGGGGGGTAGAGTCTGTTCTCCTGTTAGAAAGGAGAATATATGAAGTGCAACCGGGGTGGTGCAATCTCCACCACCGCGGTTGCAAGGAGTTGGCGTGCTGTACTGCTCGCTGTTGTCTGGGAAGTTTCGTTGGTCTTTTAACTGGCTGGGCCACCAAGGGGTCTAACATCATATTAAGGACCCGCGGTAATATGATGTTACCGTCCTGGGCCTGGTGATGATGATAATGCTGGCGCTGATGATGCTGGTGATTACAATGACGATGATCATGATGATGGTGATGCTGATGCCTTGTCCTCGTCCCCGTCGTCATCGTCTTCCTTCCCCTCGTTCTCATCATCGCCCTCGTCCTCTCTGGCTTCTCTAGCGACTGGTGAGTTGGGCTTCTTCGCTGGTGGCTGGGCCTGCGCTGCCTCACCTGATCTCTTGCCCGCCATGGCGGCTGTTTGTCGTGAATGTTGGGGGGGAGGACACGAAAAACGAACTGGTCGCGTCAGAGAGCCGAAACTGCTGATGACGATGACGATAATGCTTGCTGCTGGTGATGTGATGATGGTGATGGTGATAGGTGGTGGTGGTGATGATGATGATGACGATGATGATGACGAAAATGGCGATGATGATGGTGCGGTAGATCCTTAATGTGATGACCACCCGCAAAGGCCCAATCAATGAAGGCCGACCCTGCCCGACCCGCGCGCGCGGACCGTAAACCCCCTATGAAAAAGCGTTCGTGCGCTCCTTTCGGCCTCTCCCCCTGTCTGCACGGCCGTGGGGCGCGGGAGGACAATTCCCCCCCCCTGCGGTGGCAGTTGCACAGGGGGGCCGCTATATGTCTCACTGCCGGCTGTGGGCACGCGCGGCGGGTACGATCTGGGGCCTGTTTCGTCCTGTTTGGCGGTGCTGGCGACGCGCAGCCAGCCCCGGAACTCGGGCCGAGAGGTTCCGCCAGGCAGCCGCTGCTGGTCGTTTTTTTTTCACTGCCGCGTGCTGTTTCCCATCTTCCTGCTTGCACGGCTGTGGGGCGCTGGAGGTAATTCCCCCCCCTGCAGCAGTTGCTCAGGAAGGCCGTTCTGTCTCGTTGTGTCGCGGCTTGGTCTCGCGGCGGGCTCGATCTGGGGTATTTGTGTCGTCATGTTTGGCGGTGCTGGTGACGCGCAGCCAGCCCTGGAACTCTGGCCGAGGAGATCCGCCAGGCAAGCGTCGCTGGCCGTCCTTTTCACCGCCGCGAATCGTCCATTCCCTCTTGTCGCACGGCCGCAGGGCGCTGGTGGTATTCCCGTCCTGCGGTGACCGCTGCTCAGTGGGCCGCATATCCTGTGCATTGAGTACGGGCATGGTCCCTTCCCCGCCCTCCCGAATTCTCATCCTGCTCCCATCGGACCTGCTCTGGGCTGTGCTGCCTCTTGGACGCTGTGGGCCCGAGTAGGGTGGCCGTGGTGAGCTCCAGGAGCTTTTTTGTGCTGTACAATCCACGGATGTCGGGGGCGGCAAAGAGGGGGGTGTCCAAGAAGGGGGGGGTGCGAATCATGACCGGCGGCATGTGCGCGGCCCAGCGGGGGGGGCAGGGACGTAATGAAATAAGAAGAGGCGCCATGAAATCTGGGGAAATATCATGGCCCCTGAAATAATATCCCCCCCCCTAGTCATCACCCCCCTCTTTTCCGTCCCCGAGGATGCCCTCTGAGGCGGCTGAGCCGGGTCGATCCGTGCGGGGGGGGGGGGGGCATAGCGGGCGCTCCGAAAGGAACTCGCGAATCCCCTCCCCAAAGCGGCTCTCGCCGAGGCGAGGGCGCCTAGCGGGCGCTGTCTGCCTGCTGCAGGCAGGCCTCGGCTCTGCAGTGCCCCCTGCTTTGGCCCTTCTTGGGGGGGCGGTCCGCTCTGGCGCCTCCCCCGCTCAGCGTCAGAGGTTGTCAGCCACCAGTGTTGCCTTCTGCCTGAGTCCAGCAGCGGTTGCGCCGTGGCCGGCCCTTGCTGGTAAACACGAACAGTTAAGCGGTTGAAACGAAAAACAAAAAACACACACACACACACAAAACAAAAACGAAACAAAAAAACAAACCATTCGGCCTCTTAACAAAGAAGACAGCCACCAAGACGGAATTCAAGGCAACTAAGATGCTGCCAAGATGGCCCAAGATGTCCAAAGTCGGCTCGAGAGGCCCCCCTACGACGGCCTCAAGACAACTCAAGGTGCTCTCAAGACGGCCCAAGATGGCTCCAAGGGACCCTCCGAGAAAGCAAACACACGTGATGTTCCTTGGATGTTTGAAGGATGTTGAGATTCTCGCCTGTTTGGGCATCCGACCGCCCAAGACGGCCCCAGAGGCCCTAAAAATGGCTCTACGACAGCTGATGGTGCCCTCAGGAGGGCCCCGAGCCACCACAAGAGGATCCCAAGATCGCCCAAGAGCCTCCCAAGAGGGTCCCACAACTGCCTTAAAGCGCCCGAGGAGGGCACCACGATGGCCCAGAGAAGCCCCAAGACAGCCTCCGAAGGTGACAGACGGACCAATCACCTCCCTGAGGCAGCCCAAAGGGCCCCAAGATGCCCCCAAGAGGCCCCAGGATGTCCCCAAGAGGCCCCCCAGGAGGCTCCCAGGATGCCCCCAGGAGGCCCCAAGGAACCCCAAGAAACTGTTTCTTCCTCGTCCTCCTTCTTATCCTCCTCATCTTCCTCCTCCTCCCCCGTGCCGCGCGGATGAAGACGACGTCGGGAGTACGACCCTTCTCAATGCAGACCACTCGCAGAACTGCTGCGGGCTGTGAACCCGATCTCCTTCCTACGCGCTGTTGCAGCTCGTGGTGGGTCGCGAAACAGTCCTGGCAGGCCGCGGAGGCGTGGCGGTGCACGTTGTGCTCGAGGGAGGACAGGGTGCCCACGTAGGAGGACCCAGGCTTTTGCTCGAGGGTGTCGAACCTTCCGCAGGAGGCTGTGCTCGAGGGCGACGCCCCATGTGCTCCCAGGACCCCTGGGGTCCTCACTTGCACGGAACGCGCCCCGAAAAGCGTCGCGGCCGCGTGCAACAGGGAGCATCCGCCATCTGCGTGCCAACCATCGTCCCGTGCGCCTGGTTGCATGAGCTGGATCGATGCGTGCGCGAACGCGTTGTCGGCGATGTGCTCTGTCATGATGGGCTGTCCGTTCTGCTCGGCGA